CATCTCCAACGGAACCAAGTCAGAGATCATCATTGAGGTCGGCTCTGATAATCCTGAGGTGCTGGAGGAAGAGCAACGCGATCTGGCAACCGAAGTTGCCATTGTACGACGACGTACTGTTGCTCAAAGGCGAGGTGGCCGGGGTGGCCGTGGTGGCTCATCGTTGCTGCGGGCTGCTACGTCTGCTTCTCGGCCTCGTGCAGCCCCTGATGTTCCAGCAATACCGGCTGTTCCACGACTACCGCTAACTGAGGACCACAACAATGATGACGACGACCCTTTGCTTCCTCGGAGAATTGGCCAGCTTCCATCTCAGCCAGCAAATCGACGGGCAGTCGTTGAGCCTGTGAGCCCCAGTGAAGATGGAGACACTCCTTCGATTGAGGAAATGGAGGCTTTAGATGCCCCTTACTCGCATGCTAGCCCACGTTCCCAAACCACGCTCCGTCGTGCTGCAACCGCTGCCGCTGTCGACAGATCCCTTCATCCGCGAACGGCAGATGGACGACGTATTGAGTATCGTCGTGCCGATGGCAGAAGAGAGCATCCGCATGAGAGTGATGCTGACAATTGGGTACCTCCTCCTCCACCATATCAAAAGGAAGACCCAGGGCCCGATTTGCCAGCCTTTATGCGCGGTCCATCTGTTGCTCCCATAGGACTTGGTGGTGCATCTGTTCCCGCTCCAGCTCCAGTGCCGGCATTGCCAGATCATCTTGCATCCGCCTCCGGTCGTCCTGGGTCTGAGAACCACCAAGCACCCGGCACCGACTCCAAAGGTGAACAGCCTGGAAACGGTCCATCGCAGCGAGTCTCTGGCCAACATCCCCTGAGAGGATACACCACTCGAGACCAACTTCAGGCTGGTGATGCAGCACAAAGCAGTGTGAGCCCTCTACCCCAGACGGAGGAGGATGCTGACCTGTACGACGTGACTCCCCCCCGTTCTCCACGACAGCAGGCGGCTCAACATACAGGCGTAACTTCTGAAACCAGAGCACGACAAACATCGATATCATCTGCTGTGTCAGCTCTTACATCCAGGGCTGTGACAGTTCCTATCAGCTCTAGGGAGGAGGCTCGGTCACCCTCACCAGTGCAGGCGGATATCTCAGCTCACGACCATTTTGGCCCAAGTACTCGAGTACCAGCGGTAAATGTGGGGAGAGTGCCATCAACCGTTTCTACGGCCCAGACTGGGTCAGACCCAGCGCCTAGAGTGAGGCGGCTCTCGAATGCTCAAACTTGGCCTCGAGTTGCAGGCCATGAGGCTGAGCAAAATGTTACCCCTGTTGATGGGTATCCATTCCCAATATCTGCACCTGCCGAACAACCGGTCGCAGATGAGTCGATCTCGGGCCTCCCCCCTCTGCCAAGTTCGAGTCAGCTTGCGAGTCTGAGCAAAAGAGTCAGCCAGGGTATCCCAAGACGGCTTTCTGGAGGGTTCCAGGTCCCAAGACGGCCTGTCGGGAGTTTCGACGGTAGTTCGTACGTGTCAAGCTCCCTGCCCGATTCATTGTTGGCGGGGCCATCCAAACTCAGTCGCCCAGAACCCGATCAGCCTCTTATAATTAGTACTCCTAAGGGTGTGTCGGGTGCTTTCGACTCGCCAAGCCGGCAAGTATCTGGACGAAGGAATGAAACTCCTCTATTGGCCCCGATTCCCCGGCACCCACGCCCGGCGCCTGGCTCGAATCAGAGGCCGACTGTTGAGCGACTTGAAACCATCTACAGCATTGCCTCAACTCACGGAGGCAATCCGCCTACAACCATTCCACTGCCCAACCAGCAAGTGCCGGCATGGCTGCACGCTCCTCCAGTGCCGGTAACCAGGACGTCACCAACAGTCAATCGCCGGCCAAGTCGTGCTGAACGAAGCGCTGCTAAGAACATCAAGGATGCCAAGAAACGTGGTTGGTCAGCCAAACCTAAAAAGAAGAAGAAGAAGGCTGCAGATGCTGCAAGCAGTGCCGGTTGGACAGATATATCAACCGGCTCTGGGGAAAGGGAAAAAGAGAAAGAGAAGGACAAGAAATGTATCGTCATGTGAGACATCAACATGCACAAATTGGCCATCTTGAGTAAATATTGGGGGTAACATCCAGGTACTGGCGCCACATAGGAAGTTTATGGACATTTGATGGATTATGCACACACATACCCAATCGCTGCGCTTATTGTTTGGTACTATTCGTTTCCTTTGGCATGAGCCTCGCGGGGCGTATCTTGTTCACTCGCTAGGTTCTCTTTCATCTTATCAACGGGTTGGCGTAGCGTGTTTTTTTTATGGTCATGGGAGCGCCGGAGTCCGCAAAAACGGCTAACGGAAAGTGAGTGCTTCTTGATCGTTGTGGGTTATTTAGCTGTCGTTATATATCAAACATATACAAGCTTTGATACAGCACTGATTCAACTTGCTCCAACTGGATTCCCGATCGATTCCTTTTGCTTCACTTGCCCTGGAATGAGATGATTAAATATTCGCATATCATTTCAAAACTAATCTATAACTCTTATCAAACGTAAAACATTGCAATATTAAAACATAACAGGATTTGGGTCTTATTGAATCAGCCCAGGGTATCCCTTTGAGCGGTACAGCCCTTCAGGAGGTCACTCGCCCCACTTTGCTTAGTCACAAGGTTAGTACGTGCGGGGTACCGGAAGTTCGTAAGATATTCAATTTCTACAAAATACCACTAAAAACTCATGCTAATTGATATCTATTGAAACGATGAGTTCCCCACCAATTCTTGATGAGATACATGTGAAGGAATATGACTTTGATGATCATAGCTTTCACACACATGCACAGCAAAGGGGCCTAGGTCCTGCCGGAATAATAATTAACCCGCCTGAAGAAGCCGGCGGCCACAGCTTCATCCCTTTTAATGTAGAAGGTCGTGACTTTCACATTAACATACTGCCTCCAACACCACTCGAGCTATTCCAGCTTTTTACACCTATATCCCTCGTACAGTCATGGGTCTACTACAGTGAAAGTTGGGTCTCTCATCTTATACAAAATGGCGTTATTGATAGCTATAATACGGCCATTTCCGACCACTCGCGGATCAACAAGTAGGACGGGCTCTCGGTTGCGCAAGTGTATGTATGGCTTGGGTTACTGATTTACCTAGGAATTCATAAGGAAAATACGATTAAGAGCCATTGGAGCTCCCCTTCCCTAGGTGTTCAGTCCCCCCTGCATTCAGTCATCAAGTTTATGCCTCTATGGAGGTTCGAGATAATCTCACGCTATATACGGACTTTTGACCACACCCTGCTTGACCTACGCAATGAAGAGGACCTTCCGAAGGCATTCCAAGCTGCTGAGCCGTGGTCTGACCTGATACAGAAGGTGTCAGCCCAGCTCTATTTACCAGGGAATAACGTCACTGTGGATGAGTGTATGGTCCCTTTTACAGGCAGGAGTAAGGATACAACCCTAGTCAAGAATAAGCCTACGCCTGTAGGGTTCAAAGTCTGGGTTATCGCCCAAAACGGCCTCTTTATCCGGTGGCTGTGGCATGTGAAGGCATCACCATATACCGCTATTATCGTCGAACTGCCAAAGAAGAAGCCGGCTGCCAAGCTGCAACAGGGGAAGAAGGGGAAGGGAAAGCCTAAGGAGACTGTGACCCTTAGCAATACAGCAGGAGTCGTTATTCACCTAGTTAATATGCTGCCAAAGCAGACATATCACGTCTTTATGGATAACCTCTTCTCCTCGCCTAATCTCTTCCGTGCCCTTCGAGAAGCCGGTCACGGGGCTACAGGTACAGCCCGCCCTAACTGTGGCATCACCAAGGAGCTTAAGCTTGCAAAAGGGAAGGATAAGGCAGGTGCCTCAGGCTTTGAGTATAATGAAGTAAAGTCAATCCCTACAATTGATGGCCTCGTATGCCTGAGGGACTTATTTATATGCATTTCCCTTACTAATTCGTCCTTCCTAGGTCGCTCAAATCGCTTGGAAGGATAATAGCCTCGTGTTATTTCTCTCTACCGTATACAGCGGTGCCGATGACCAACGCACCCCAAAGAGAAGGAAGAAGCCTGCCAACAAAGGGGCACAATCCAAGCCGATACAGGAGACCTTTAGTGATGCCGTAATAAAGGTTATTCCTATACCGACTGTATCTGCTTCTTATAACGATGAAATGAATCATGTAGACCGAGGAGATCAGATAAGGTCCTATACGAGTTATGAGCACCGATTTCGCCGTGGCCCGTGGCAGGCTCTCCTTTGGTCCTTCCTTCTTGATGTATTACTTGCAAATAGCTTCATTTTGCAGCTTAAGACCTCACAGCCGCGGTGGCCGCCTTACAAGACCCTCGAGAGCTGGAAGAGGTGCATTTCTGATGCACTATTCATTAAATTTGCCCAAGAAAGCGGCGCAAGGAAGAGATCTCGGGCAGGGAAAGAGGAGGATATAAACGATACCCAGTCACGGCAAAATCACCTGCAAAGAGATATCAATCATGTCAACAGGGGGATATTCTCAGATTGCCTTGCTTGTAAAGGCTTTAGGCAGGGGCAGCCCCGACCTTTTAAAAAAAGGAAGGTTAAAAATACTCTCTTACAGCCGATAACAGCTAATACACGAAGTCGGCATCGAGGAGGCTCAGGTAGGCAGACCTGGTACGGCTGCCGAGTTTGTGAGGTAGCTCTTTGTAACAATCAAAACTGCTGGGACTTTTACCATCATACAAATTAGTATGTGTGGAGAAGTACCGTTAGTTTTATTCAGTTTGATTGGTCCTATACCCCTGTCGTGACCCCGCTGAAGGGCTGTACCGCTCAAAGGGATAAACGACAGCTACTCCAGTATTTATATCCACAACGCCAAAATCTCAGTTCTAGCATAATCGGATGAAGTTGATCCATATACATAGCGAGAGGATCCCACTCTGCACTGCAGATGGTGGTGAACGGAAGTTGCATTAGTGAGAGAGATGAGTGGTGCAGCTCAAAAGGAAATAGTGTAAGTCAGTGAGGTCTAGATTCTGGGGGTGGTTCCAGGAACGTATGGCTTCCCTCGCCGAACAGCGCCGAGATCAGCCTCGTCCATCAGGTCGGTGAATGTTGTCGCTCTCGTCAGGGGACGGGGTTTTACAATGGTGCTAGGGTCCGCGAAAACATTGATGTTCTCGCTACTTGGCTCACGTTGAAGCTCAGGGGTACTTGGTCGACGACTGCAGTACGACGAGGCCTTCATAGCGCGGATGGGGGGTAGCCGAACGTTTCCATGTCGAAGAGACTCTTCATTGTCGAGGGGGCTGGGCTGAGCATTGGGTGAGGGGTTGGGTGAGTCGAAGGGATTCGGAATAGAGATACGAATCCGCGGAGGTGGAGCGTTGAGACGTGTGCTAGCATCGGAAAGCTGGCGCACAGGCACAATGCTTGAGCGCTGGGTTGAAGGTGTCTTGAGGATGAAGTCCGCGCGGTAAGAGTTGGGTTGGCTGATGGGCTCGGAGATGATATTTCCGAACGAGGCATCGCTCGTGGATCGACGGCCGTAGCCGTAGATATGACTGCCCTTCTCTGAGCCTTGCGCCTCCCGTTTGTTCTGACGACGGACGTAGAGGAAGATTACAACGGCGATTATTAGAAGAATAATACTGCCGCCGACTACACCGCCAACGATGGAGGTAGTAGCAGGCCCCGAGTTGTCAGACTTGGAGTCTCCGTCCTTGTCTGAGCTGTTGTCTGAACCAACAGCGGCTGTAGGCTCAGCGCTCGTGGAGGGTGCAGCGCTGATGGAGATGGTCTCAATAGCCCCCGTAGCAGTAGTTATCGCGCTGGGAACAGGCGTGGACGTCTCATTAGGAAGCTCAGCGCCCTCTGGGACATCGGTCTGATCCTTGTCGATAACACACTGCTCATTTTCACACGAGTATCCAAAAGGACAGCACTTCTGTCCACATTTCTGAAGGTCGAGGTTGAACACTATCGTCTTGACAGGGGCGTTGGGGAACTCTCTCTGGTCCTGGCCGCGGATATCACAGGTGATGGGTTGAATGACATTGCAGGTCTGACCCTTGGGGCAGCACACTGCTGTGGTCTTGCCAGCGAGAAGTCTGCAGGAGTTATCTTTGGGGCAGCAGAAGTTGGCGATGTCGCTGTTGCATGATATCTGATCCGCATCGCATGTGTCTTGGCGGGCGAAGATATTGTTCGCGGGGAGAGCGGAGGATGTTGAAGCATAGAGGGCTGTTATGAACAGAAACCTCAGGGGTGTTGGGAGTCTTCCCAGAAACATATTTGGTGTATATTATGCGTGTGGTTGTTGGTTGTTGTCTTTAGTGTTAGTTACTAAGCGTTGGTTTTGTTGGTTCGTTGTTGAAGGAATGTCTTCGAGTGAATGTGATGTAAGAGAAGATGATATGCAGATGAGTTGGTGAGTCAGACACAACCAGCGCGTATGACAAAGATGAAGCAATGAGTCAACTGAACAAGTGAATTTGTCTTGCTTTGTTTTGTTTGTTCGATAGAACAGTCAAGGTGAAGAAACGGAACAGTAAATACAGAACGCAGAACAAGAGACTCAGAAAAAGAGGGAGAACAAGGGTACTAGACAAAGACCGAGAATGGAACCATGAGGTCACTGGCAAGGGAGCCGTCTCTTTCCTCCATCATGGACATGGTCTTCCTTTGCTTTGCCGCCTTGTCCGTTGAGAGTCATCTCGACCCATTCGTGGACGATATTCAGGCTCGACTGTCGCATCAGAGACCATTGGGCGGTTGGTCAGAGATGCTGAGAGCCAGTCGCTGTGAGGGTCTAGGGCCTATCACTTGACACGCCAGTAGACACTACGTAGTTAGTCTAGAACTACTAGATGTTGGGGGATATGGAAACTGGTTTGTTTGGCGATAATGTCGCCATAGTTGAGACAGATGTAAAAGCTGTGGTTGGTTGAGAGTCTCCGAAGACATTAAGCGCGCGGCGATGCATATCGCTGATTGGATTCTGATGAACAAAGCCCAGTAAAAGGTTGGCTGTGGGGGCTCTGTCTCAGGCGCTGAAGATTCGTGGCCAAGCGCTAAGGTTGGGCGCGTAGTTTTCGAACTCAGACCGTACTTGAGTTGTGGTGAGGTCCAATAAGACGAGCAATCCAATGAGAAAGGCCACTGTTTGAAGGCCAATTCCAGGCATAGAGTCTTCGGAAAGTGTTGTGTTATTTAGGCTTCAACAGGCTGTTTCTTGTCGTTATGGGCTGCCTCTCTTTCGTTCTTCTCTCCCGTCGGTGATTGATCATGTCAGTCAAGATGGAACTCTAGGTATCTTGTTCAGTGACGATACAGATCAGTAAACGAACGGATGTCTTTGACCTTCCTTGCCACAGGAGCAAAGCACGGGATATCTTGGTCTCCAATGCGTTCTCTGATTCTTTGTCTCTGCTGTAACATGACTAACATGACTCACTACACCCATTATCGTGATACAAACCACACAAACTCTCCACATCCTATAAGTACTGTAATATCCTTCGTCTATATCCGTACTGCATGCCATTTACCCCATCATCCACCTCTCTGCCCCCTTGCACGCGCCGAAATGACCCCTGGACTCTCACACACAGAAATGCATCTCACAAAATCCAGATTCGCCTAGACCTCGGCAAGAGGCAAAAAGTCCACGTCTTCTCCGCTGCGGTCAGGTCAGTAACGAAAGAATGCCCTACAGGGGGCGTGTAAGTCATTAGATCCAATAACTTCACGCACTGTCCAAAAGCCCTGAAGACGGAAGCAAATCGTCTTCGCTTTGCTGTAACTGTTGAGAATACGTGTTTGCCTCTAGGTTTCCGTTCTGTAAATCAAATGCACTGCTATGCGATGCGCTGATGTGCTGGTGCCTCTCTGTATCCTCGCTGCAGATGCACTGCGACTCGTACGGAACAACGGCTCAACATGTTGCATGCATTGGGCCTTCTCAGATAGAGTGAGGCTTTAAAATAGATGATCTATAGGATGAAACAGATAAGGGAAATGCTTCCCAACTATAATATGAATTGTCCTCGTACTGCATTTGCATAGCATAGCATAGCATTGCATTGCATCACATGCGGCTTTATCTCTATACATCCGCTACAGGGACAAGGCCTCATTTCTCCAGCGCGTGTGCCACAGTATAAACATCCTCAGACCACTAAAAAGCTCCCTGTAGATGCCTACAGTAGCAGCACATATCTGCAGCTCATCAATGCCACCCTCTCAACGCCTCCCCCACGGAGAACATATCTCTCCCCGGCTTTCATGGTGTGATGATGCTGACCTCTCCAGGGGATAAATAAGCACAGAAGAAAAAGAACCCATCGGATGCGGAATAATATGCTGGCTTGTAATGTCATCAGGCCGAGGCATTAATGCCTATCCCAGTGGTGCCTCTCGGGGTTGGGATCCCTTTTCAGAGGCTTGCAGTCAGCACTGGAGAAAAGTCCCCGGATTATGTGGTATGATTTTACATGATCAGATAGATATTGTGATGATGTGATCTCATCTTCTGGTCATTGCAGTGAGGGAATAAACAAAGTGCGTAGTAATTAATGTCACGGCGTGGAGTACCAATTGCAACGACAATGTGCTTTGTTCATTGTCTGCCTTGTCTTAGCAAGGTCATAGATGTCCTATCTGTATACCACTTCCTTTCTGGGAGCTAGCCCATTAACCAGCTTCCCAGAGCCTCTCTTTTCATATCGTCATCCTTCACAGCGCCCTTATCCCCAGATCATCCTTTGCGCCGTTTCCCCCATACCATTGCCCGCTTGGTATCATAGTAAAGCAATAAACAATAGCGAGTGATCCCGAGTCTCGCGGTACTCGGCCGTTTCTATCCAATGAACTAACATCTAACACGGCATCTTGTTGCCGCCCCATTTGTTCCTGCATATGGCCATGGCTCATCTCTCACTCATCCTATTCATGCATGTCCCTAACGCCTCGTCCCCGTATCAAAATATGTCGAGATGTGGTGTATCCAAGTGTCGCTCTTTGTACTCCCACATTCATCTCAAAACGCCTCGCGGCTTCCTCTAGTGACCCATCCCAGTAGGTATCATTGTATATGAAGTAAAATGAAGAAAAGAAAAAGATAACTCAGCCCTTTCGGGACAGATAATAAGTGAATAACAAAGCCTCGTGTAGGACGTGGAAGTGTCAATTCCAATCCTGGTCCTCGACGGCTGGCAAATGCCTGCTTCGCCTGATGAGGGGGTCCTGGCCGCTCTCATGTTACTGAAAAGAAGGTTAGAGCAGAACTAGATGGTTTCACCCAGCACGGTCCCGCTACCCTTCAAAGGCCAGCCAAGAAGGTTTGCAGAAAGCAGTGCTCAGATCAACAAAAAGTCCCACCCCTTCGATTCCATGACATCCCGCCAGTGGATGTGCAGCTGGGCCGCCTCAGACGTCGTGGACCCGGGTGTGCTCACGCCCGAGAGGCTGTCATTCTGAGCCCACACCTCGTGAAGGAGGGTGGCTACACGTCCCATGGTGCCAAACCTAGCCGAGTCGCCCAGCTGAGCCAGGCGGTCCTCGAAGAAGGCTCGGAATGAACTACCGGGAACGCTGATGGAGCCGCCAATGAGATAGACCCAAGCAAGATTTCGGTCAAACCCATTGGGGCCCGAGGGAATGTGTTGAAGCACCGTGGTCAGCTTCTCAACCAAACCCATGGGGGATGGCTGTCTGGGGTTGAATCCAGGGACCAGGCTGCAGAGGAAGATGCGAGCAGCAATGCGGAAAGCCATGGTCATGTTCTTAGAAAGCTGCTTAGGTGAAAGACTACCATTGGCATTGAAGGGCATCTTGGGACCTGCATCACCCATCTCAGTCAGGCTAATTTGCTCTCCGAGGGCAGACACATGTTGGCAGAGTGTGAAGTCATCCATGCCATCCTTCTTGAGAGACTCGAGACAGGCAATCTCGGAAATGAGATACATGACCCGGTCATCACAACCCATGAGCTCGCGCAGGCCAAGGCTTGGGTTGAGCTGAGAAAGATGCTTCTCACGGTAAGTGTGAGCAAATGTTGGTGAGCGACCCTTCATGGTGGCACCGAGAATGTCAATCCATGACGAGAGAGACATGTTGAAGGGAGTTTGCATGGAAGCCCGAGTAGGATCAGAGACGATGCCGGGAAGGTCAAGCTTCTGCACCAAGCTGATAGCAGCCTGGAAGTGCTGGTGCCAAGGAATATCGAGAAGGCCATCATCATAGCGGCCAACGACAGACTGGAAGAAGATGAGGCCGAGGGTTGCCTCGAGAATTTGCTGGTGATTCTCATCTTTCTTGAGAGCCTCACAAAGAGCCCAGATGGTAGCATAGCGATGACGCATGATGTCGTTGTCAATGTCCTCGGTAGAAGTAGAGCCATTGTTATGTGATTTGAGGTGCTGGGCAGCGACGCTCAAGCAGCAGTGAAGGTAGGCACTGTTTGATTGAAGAGCAGGGAGGATCAGGTCTGAGCTGACTGAGCAGTGTTGGTTGGACTCGAGGATGGGAAAGATGGTCGGCAGAACGAATTGGATGAAGTGATCCAGGAGGCGCTGGTCATTCTCATCCAACTCAATCTGGACTTGCCTCGACTCTGTAGAAGGGCCATGTGAGAAGTCAAAGAAGTTGCAGTTGAGGGTCTCTTCTGAAAGGGATTCCTTGCGCTCTTGGAAGACCTGCTCGGCCCACTCGCCGTCGAGAGGACCGTTGGGCAGAACTGTACCAGCAGGAGGAGGAGTGTGGTAAGTGCTGAAGGTGGAGATGTGTGATTCGCGAACTGTGGGCACATCATTGACAAACATCTGTCGCTCTGTCTTGACATCGATCTCATAAGGTGAGTAGCTGCCGAACATGAACTCGGGGTGCATTGGAGCACCGAATCCATACTCGTTACCACTGGGAGGGCTGTTGAAGTTGAAAGCAGCTGGGAATTGAGAGTCAATCGAGGCGGATCTTGTGCGGTCGAGAGGATCAGTGAAGGTGGCCGATGTGGGAAGAGAGTGTGTGAGGCCAGGAGGAGAGCTGGTGACAGAGTTCTGAATGTTGTGCGATGACTTCTCGGAGAGCTTCTTGCGCTTGATAATCATCTTGATGTCCTCCTTGTGTTTCCTTCGCATATCGTTGTTGCTCCACCACATGGGCCGCTTGTACTCGCATTGCAAACCGAGATGCTTGCAGGCTGTGCACATGGGAGTTCCCTCGTCGCATTTCTTGCGTCGCAAACGGCAGGTATAGCAGCCTGTGACATTCATATTAGCTCAATACACTTCGGTAGGATGGTGTAAGTGGGCGTACCTGTTCTTGAACGACGATGCATCTGCGTCTTTGTCTTTGGCTTGCCATTGCTGGCTTTGGAGGCCGGTTTGGCCTTTGAAGACTGTGATACAGTCATGTTGACGGTGTTTCCAGTTGCTCGCGACACGCCTTTGCGATGGTCGGGGGGCAGCGTAGACATTTGTAGGCTGCGATGCTTGGTCCTTAGAGTATTGGCGTGGTAGGGGACCAGGAGGGGTGTGTGATCGACAAGGGGGGAGTGGTACTGTGTAATCAGGGACCAGATGCGCACTGTACTGTAAACCCAGGCCTAGTCGAGTGTGGAGTCGATCAGAGCGGGACGGGATGGAGAAATTAATTGTCTTTGCTTGTCTTTTGCCTTAAACTGGGCTGAGGATCCAGAAGCGAAAGCCAAGAGGTTGGGCGTTGGGAAACGTGACCGGGGGGATATCGAATCCGAAGTTGTCAAGTCCGTTTCAACGAGTCGAAAATTAAATTAGTGTTATTGTATCGGTCAGGATCAATATGGATCACTGAGCGAGCGGATTGTTTGATTTTGTGTGTAGTCGTGTAAGTGGCAGCCAGGCCAACGTATCAAACTACAACGTATCGTCCGTTATTCCGTTTCGTTTCGAATCGAAATGTCCTTTTGGGAAATTGCGTAGTAATGATTGACTGGTTCGAAGCAAGTCCGGCTTGCTTGTAACTGGATATTGGAAAGATTGATGCGGGTAATAGAAGGGTTTGAGGAGGGCGGTAAGAGAGGAAAGGGGATCAAGAGAACCTTTGGCGACACTTGGAATCTCTGAACATAACGAAGAAGAAAGAGGGCAAAATTCTTGGGCGGCTGCTGGAGGGCTAAATCCTTATATTTTGGCCGCTTCTCTCGTGGCCCTTCACACGTCGATTCGATGATGGCTTCCCATCGTCTTGTTTCTATTTTTGCATCATGCACGACGAGCATGCCATGGCACCAAAGGCAGCAACTGCGCTTAGAGAAGCCAATGGGGAGAGTCGGTCAAAAGATGGTCTCTCTGTGTCCATCGGGACTCCACTCTAGAAATAGATGTGCACAAGACAATAAGGCGAGCAGGGGTTCAGTCGTCAAAAGGGGAAAGTCGCGCATGGTGTGCCCATCTGGTCGTCCATGGTCGTAGCTAGCAGCCACTCTGCTCGCATGAAGAGCTCATCAACGGGGGGGGTTGGAGCCCATTCGGATCTAGCTCCTCACGGGAGGATATGCGAGGCGGGCAAGCTTGGACTTTGACTTTGGCTTCTGATTTGAGGCCCTCCACTTGTTGGCTTGTACTCGAGTTCAACTGCCATCTTTCCAGATGCCTGAGAAGGCTGAGATGCAGTTTGTGATTATACATTCACTTGAAAGAAGAAACGTTCAAAGTTCAGGCGTGAGCCCAGCTTTCATGCAGTGGATCTGTGTGGTGATCAGTATGGGTTGCTTCTTCAGTATCTATTTCCATACCAAGAAGTAGTGACACCCACCATCATGATGATGCTGATGCTGATAGAGAAGCTCACCGGGCTCTTGCAACTGCGTCTGCATATGCGCGAGTATGTACACCGGAAGAGGGGAAATGCCAAAAGGTCGCACAAGGATCCGACCGCTAGCTCACCTCCTCTATCAAGGTCTCATAGCAGGGTCGTTCCATGCTCGACTGGCAGAGAGTGTACTGTGCTGGTCTGAAAACTCTATTCGGTCGCATCTAAGATGGATTCATTAAACAATCGCATCTAGTGCAGCCATGGTCCGTTGTGAAATCCACGGTTTGCGAGTCATATTTCACGCTTCACGTCTTGGAACTCGGCCGAAGTGGACGATTGGGCCAGAAACTTGTTGGGGTCTAGGACACAACGGAGATAGGCTGGTAGTAGGAGAAAAGCCCTGGCCAAGTACCTAGATGATTTTTAACGAATAGAATGGTCAAAGAGGCGGTCAACCTTCAGATTGGTCAAGCGGCGAAAGACCTCGTGGGTGCAGTCCTGCAAGTGGCTGTCCGCAGCCGGGTCGAGAAGCCAGAAGCCCCATGTATGGCCCTCAAAAACACCAAGTCTCCAGTTCAGAGGAATACCGGCATGGTTGGGTGCTACGGGACAAGTGCATGTTGACCAGGGGTTAAAGACAGTGACGTCTAACAGCGCGGGGGTTGTTGAGAAATTCCATAACTGGAGGTCACGGGGGTCGAAAGGGCCTTGTGAGCGATAAAGGAACGAGTCAAGATTGGGTAATGGGTTTAGAGAGAGCATTGACATGTCTCTCTCTTGTTTAGCCCAGGTAACCTCGAGTGTTGATCTGTCTATGTCGAGACATGAACAAATCTACTCCGTAGCAGAGTCAGTCAGTGTGACAACATATAATTGCTGCAACTACGCGGCAACAACTCAGTTTAGATGAGCTGAACGGAATGGATACATGAAGAATGGCGCTCAATACTCATGCAAAGCAAGGCGCTATACATGCCTTCTGCTGTGCGCCGTAGCAGTCCGACATGTACCCGACCATTGCTCCAGCGGGCATGACCTGGGCTGGCATTGCCATGCTCTCCAGTGGCTGATCAGTGAAAAGCTCTGCTCTGCTGGCGCCAAAGCTGGGTCAGGTCGCATTCTGCAGTGACCGGGAAGGAAAAAGATCGGTCTGGTGAGCAGGCCTGTCGTTGTGAAAAAGAGCGTTTCTGGTCCGTGATTCGACAGCCGAGGGTGACACGCGTGCATTAGCGCATTATGGGACGGGACCAACCGATGAGGAGCTTCTGCCGCGGAGCAGGGGTAGATAAGAGTGCTAGTCCAGAAGCGTGTTAGCAGAGTTGATTGCCTACCCCGGCCTCAGATCTGGATTGGCCCCGAGCCGCAGGTGGCTCAACAGGGAAGCTCTGACACTGTAACCAATGAGAAAGCAGAAGACGATGATCTCTGCCGCCACGTTCTTGCAGCCGTTCAGGGGGCCCCTGGCTAGCTCGAGACCCTTACCTTACACCAATGCACGTTGAGGTGATCAACAAAACACCGAGCCGAGCGGGGAAGCTCAAGCTGGTCCTGGTGAGTTTATGATGTGATAAGCGGACCATGACGGGCAATAACGGGCGGCCGAAAATGGGTCATTATGCTATGCTTTGACCGTTCGCTGATCATGAATGAAGTTGCTGAGACGAAATGTCACTGCTCGAATGCTGTTGTGGCAACCCAATATTAATCTTATCTTGATAGCGTGCTTACCTTACCTTATGTTTGTGGAGGAGGCTGTACCTATCTGTTGTGCATGAAGAAACAAAAACCAACAATCAGATCACTGGAATCTCCATCCAACAAGATGTAGCTAGTGCAAGGTCATCTGTAAATCTGCCAACCATGTTGGATCTCCTCTACACCATCATCAGATATGAGCATGCAAGACCAGACTAGCCAGACCATTTCAAGGTTGAGCTTGGATTATCCTTTGAACCTAGCAAGGTATATTAGCCTATCTTGATAATTACTGAATCTAGAAATGTCATCTGGCCTTCCTCTGCTCCGGCTATCCTATCTTATCTCGCGACTTACACACTCTCTCTCACTTTCAGAACCTTCAACACCATAACCCAAATCAAGTCGATGATAATATTTGTGTGTCAAAAGGCCCGATCCATCTGACAATACTTAGCTCTTCAAACCCTGACCCGACATTTAATATCTCATCACACTCTTTGGGTATTCCGTAAACAAAACTATCACACTATCACCTGTCAAGCCCATGAATTCCACTCCTACTATGGTCTAGTCAAGTCATGGATAGATGGCTCCCCCGCCAATGCGAGTCATTGTCAAATGCCCCCGCTCGTTGCAAATTAAACACTACCGGCCGCCTCCGATTGTTCATCGTCTTCTCGTCTGTTCATCCCATACGATCCCTGATCCCTGCAATTTCACTCACGAACAGACCGTTTATGGTCTCCTCATTGACACCATCGGGACAGGGCTCCGTCTAAGCCGGAGATTTTGGCCCTTTGACGGAGTAACTATTTTAATTTTTTAGCCCCCTCTTTTCAACTCGGAATCTGGGCTAAATTCTATGCCTTGGCGCTTAAGCATGTTTGGATCAACAGTTGGGATACCGCAAAAGCGCTAACAGATCCCATCACGTCTCGTCACATCCCAATGCTCACTTGCACGTCTATTTTTAATTTAGCCCGCATTCCCTGGCTCATTCCAGCATAATTAGGCCATCATCAAGGTCGCAGAGGACGCGGCCAAAAAGACTATTGATCTGGGCTAATTATGGAACAATTGCTCTTGACTAAACCAAACTTTCTCTCCTATGTCAATGCACTTCCATCAAGTTTGGCTGCAACACTGTTCAGCTCTTCGACACCCTTGCCCATGTTGACATGGAGACATTATTCTGCTAGCTTACCCTAATGCTTCTTGTTGATCTCCAGTTCTGTGCTGAGTACTGACTTGACTAGAACTACTCCGAATGCCGAAGGTTCCGCAAGTTAGTTGTCTGATTAGATGATATATCACGATGTCTTGGTAAATAATATTTTGATCTGCGCTCGAGGTAGTATTCGTAAACTTCAATGCAACTGAAATTGATGATGGATTTACTGGGAGATTGTTGACCCTCTGTGTTTATGGAAATTACTCTCACCTAGATATGGACTCATCCCCTTGATCACACAGTATGGCAACATTCCAACTTGGGCCTGTAGACCTAGGCCTCAATTAGCGGTCGACCTCGAATCTCACAGTCCAGCCATAGTTCAGTAACTCGACACTCACCCTCCATTAGCGCATGATTCATAATCTCGATGCACCCGGACCAAACTTTTTGTCCGCCATCGACGGTCAAAAGGTGAAATGTGCCATTAACCACGTATTTTACCGTTTTAGACGGTCTAGCCCTGTGTGGCTGAAGAAGCTTTCTCATTTCTCATCTTACCAACAAAATTGAGTTTGGTGCCTCGAGTTGGTTTGTGTTGGCCGCGTATCCCGACTTACACACCATCACGTTCGTTTGTGGGCCTTTCCGTAGCCGTTGAAGGGTCCGCGGGGAGCTTCTTGGCCCTTGCGGGCCGATCCAAACTCTGGCGGGAAGTTAATCGCATATCTAGGGCCCTCAAAATCATGGTTATACTGTGCTGTATTACCTCGTCTTTAAGACCGGGCAAGGAAATTCCTGTGAACGGGCGCCAGACAGGAAAAAACATGTTATGGTAATGGCATGATCAGCCAAAGTAAGTCGAAGCTGAAGCTAGCATCGCAGATCGAGGCTCCAGCTGACTAGGGCCCTTGTTTCTGTCAAGGAAGCTGAGCTAACTCCCTAGGTAGCGAGCCATTTCAATGCTCGCAAAAGCCTCCATCAACAGTCAAGGATCATCAGATAAGCCTGTTAAACTAGCACAGTAAGGCTGCGGTACAGTACAGTGGAGTGTGCGCCGAGTTGACTTTTGCTTTGCTTTGCTCACACTCACACTCACATCATCATTTTGTCCCTCACTTTCCCCGCCCAACCCATGACAATCTTTTGGTCCCAATGGAGAATCCTGGTAGGTCCGAAGTGATTCGGCTTCTCGAATTGAACATTCATTCGAAGCTCCAGAAGCTCGACCGCAATGCGGCCGTGCTCTCAGCACCCACAGAACTCGAGGAGGTCGCATTAGTTTTGCATCATGTGAGATTCTGCAGAAGTGAGCTTTGAATGATCTATTGGTTAATAGATGATATTTGAGATGTGTGTTGAAACCGTTGATGGATATGGGAAACAGAAGTGGAGAGTGGGAGCCGCGTGGGAGAGCTGTGAGGATTGGCTCAGACCAGGATTAAAAAGGCACATGCACATTGACACTTCCAATGGCACTGTGATGTGATGCTGGGGGGTTGCATCACAAAATGAGAACCGAGAGCTCAGATGTGACATTCCGACTGCCGTCCCCTACTGGGTTATATTCTTGAAGTCCTCTGTAGACAATAATGACGGGACACACACCGCGGCTTGGCTCCTGGTAGTTCTCAATTCGTCGTTGATTTTAGATGCGGAGATATTCAAGCTTGTCTCCGAGCAACTTAGTGACATGACTGAGTCGATATGTGATCCCTCTGTACTGGGTCCTTGTCGTCCAGTTCCTCGACAAGCAGCTGCCCGTTGTGTGCTGCCGGCCAGCACTTTTGTTCACAGGTGTTCTGTGGTCCATGGACTTCCAGCCTTCTTGTCGGCCGCTCTTCGAGTTCGATGGGTCATCCAACTCGATCTGAAGTCTTGGCAAGAGCAAACTTCAGAGTGAGACACCACGATGGCTATGTGAGACATTGGCATAGTGTTGATCAGCCCGCACAATTATCTTGATGCTCCGGATTCCACGACAGCTATCGTCGTCATCGGTATATGTTCTGTGGCGTACGGAAGAGTCGGTGAGAATCCCCGAAGACAAGTCTTGCCGTAAAAGACCTGGTCTATGTCTCCATGCAAGGCATCTCGACCTGAAGCCGAAGGCTGGACGGGAGACGGGCATAGCATGCGAAGTCAAGCGGGAACGAGACATTAGCCCGCACGGGCGTGATGAAGCCTGAAGGATTTGAAGCCACTTCGACTCTATCCATGCCACTGCTTGCTTGCTTGTTTCCTTTCACATTCAGACATGCCATCCCGGGCCTAGAGCAAGCTACAGCAGTTATCATTACCACATCCTACTGTAAAGTTGTGAAAGAAATAAGAATATTTCGATTTTGGGCTGGGCATTTCCTTGCTGTAGCAAGGATCATTGCAGGGGTATGGTGACAGAAGCAGACAGGCATCCCGACCAAGAAGCTAGAGCGGGATCGGTTAAGCCCTCGCAGGATTGCGATTGACGGACGTGAGGCCAATCGTTGACTCCAGCTGAGGTTATGAAAGTCTATTGGGTCGCAGAAGAGATTGTCCGTCATGGGCTTCGTATCCCACGGCAACATTTCAATGGCATGGTGACTCTGGTTTATTCGTTTGCGAGGCGAAGCAATTCGAGACGCCGGGTGTTTAATAATATCAGGATTGAACGGTGTTCACTACGGGACGAGAACCTATTGTAAGAAATATAAGGCGTATATGCTGTGCTTCTGTAGGTGGAAGCTGTCACTAGCCGAATATTGATTCATATTCACGGCGATAACTTTGTGGTGGAGTTACCCTACACTCCAATGTAGGTGACACAGTCTGATTCTGCACTGTATATACCTGCCCAACCCGAACTCCATGGCTGAATATTTGGGTAGGTAGTGCAGCGTTCATGATGCCATCACTGTATATCGTTATTTGGAAGGTATCACCAGAATCTCATGCAGTAAAGTGGCTGTCATGCTGTGCTACACTGAGAATCGTAATCTTGGACGCCGCAACATCAGATCTTCCATTATCTCTCTTATGGTAATGCTGTGAATCAACGTCGCGTCACACTGCATCTCAGCCCAGGCACAGACATATACGTTTTGCATATCTTGGGTACCATTTGTTCATCAATTCATCGACAATCACCGTGGCGACACATCCATCGCAGAAAATCATATTCGGAGCTTCACCTTCAACCAACCACGCCTCAAAGCCACTCACCCTCGGATTGCTGAGCCGTTTATCATCTCCTCAATTCCTCAAGGATATGGCACCTTTTGGACAGATATTCCCGATTCAGCTGATGGTTTGAGGCTCCTTGATTGACAAGGCCAAGAACAGAGTTGAGCAAACTACAGCAGAACTATACCATTTCCAGTGTGATCTAGAGTGTGCAAATGCTGAATCCTAGCATGTTGTAGATGCAGTCCATCACTCACCCCACCTCTTAGTCTCTTTGGCGAAGCTCGAACTTCTTGACAAGGAATAGAGGAATTCATCCGTCAATTGTCACCGCTCCCTTCGAGGAATAGCTGTGACGGACTGCGATTCGTACATGAGCCGGATTGATTTGTTCATGTGAGCGAGTTTGGCCGCGACCTTTGAGTCACACGATGAGCAAGACGAGATCAAATCTTTGACCGCAAGTATGAGCAATGCTCGTATAACCATTCGTAAGGCGAAATTCCAGTCTCGAGCCAGCAAAATATAGTCGAATTGTGGATGAGGCGAGGAATGACCAAACAAGAACCAACCAAATTCATACCGCCATGATCCGCCTGACTTCTATCGCATTGAAAATCAAAGCGGATAGGAATGCTGTAATGGAGCAAACAAACTGAAAGAAAAACGGTCCGTCCCACTAGCCTGCCGGTTAGAGTGTTTTCACTTGATTCGTGGAAGAGGCCATCAATGTGCGCTATGATTGGTTATTGAGTGACATAGGGCCAAGATTAGTGTCTATTCTCATCCAAAACTCCCATGAACGCACTGCCTGAACAGGAAATCGAGGTCGAAGGAGGTGGTGGGCCAAGTAAGAATCTGACAGGGGCTCTTTACAGGGCACTACTCCTGTAGCCTCTGATAGAGGGCCTCAGAGCAGTTGCACTTGGAGTTGGAGTTGGTGGGGGCTAGAACCTTGACGATCCAGGGACCCTTTGAGGGCCTCTAACAGCGACAGGGGCACACCACCGAGCACCAGCCGCGGTAATAATGCGAAGAAACCACTATGAGGTCAACGTACGATTTATCTACTCGCCTGGGGCGTGTCGGTGGTTCTCTCGAGACTTGGACCAAGTTCGGAAGAATAGCTGCCCGAAAAAGATCATTCCGCTCTGCGAAGGATCGCAATGGGAAGCAATTACAGGACCATCGTTTGGTGATGGAGGTTGTTAGCAGGGGACAGTCCACAAGAATGGTGGCGGAGGCTAGACTCTGGGGCTGGAGCTTCAACTCCATCTTAAACACTCTGTTGAACGAGCTCGAACTCAGGCTTGAGAATACCTTGATCTAATGCGATATGTGTGAGTCAAAAACATAAAGTTTCAGATGTAACGGTTTCCGGTCCCACAACCACAGAACCGGCGTGGTAAAAATTTGGGTGCCCTGGAATCATCCAGGCTCCGGGATAGAGTGCAAGAATCTTGACCGTTGAAAAGTTTGTTCCTGGATGGAATGAGGCGCGAGGAAAGAGTAAACTTTCCAGGCTCGGAAACATATTCGTCGTTACAATTGCAAGGGCACACAAGCTTGCATGTTGACACACATTCACATTCGCATTCAAATCTGCTCTACCACCCAAGTCACATGGCTAGCTTCATGTCCAGGAACACAAGAGTGTTACGTTTGACAACAGCATGCAGGGGAATAATACGTTGAACAAGAGATCAAATGATACTCGGCATGTCCACGTCGTTGATGACAGCAATGCCAACAACTCATATCTTAACGTATGGCAATGTCGACGTTGAAAACATGAGGCGAGGACCCCATACAGTGCACCATAGGAGAATAAAGAAATACCGATCCATGCTGGTCGTTTATTTCTCGTTTCTCAGGATTTCGCATGCAGCTGATGGGGCTTGTCTCCCGCTCTTATGCCGAAGCTACTTGGTCCGTGATGACCCTAGCACTACAGTGTACAGAAAACCACAGTACGAACAGACTCAACAGAGTACGGATACGCAGGAGAGGTTGTAGAGCATGCGAGAAAGATAAGATCAATTTGCAATTGAGAAATGTGATGACACGAGAAAACAGACTGATCATGATTGTGCTGAGGGTTGCCATGGGCATCCATCATCACTATCACTATCCATCGAATTGGGTTTGGTCTGTTCTGCTGATGGATGAGATTACAATCCATACTGGCAACGATGTAAAAACTCAGACGTTGCGGGGTGATATGGTGCGTTGACTCGTTGCCCAACCTCACCTCACCTCTGTCACTCAACTCATCCTGAGCTAAGGTGAGAAACTCAAGCTCCCGGCGCTTAAACGCTCGTTAGGGCCGCTATACTACTAATTGTCCAAGGTGTGGCACTAACGGATCTCCAGCTGTGGATAACGAGATTGGGTGTGCTTAACCATGTTAAGCCTAACGCCTCAAGAGCCAGGGTCGCAACGTGCGCCAGCTTAAGCCAATCGACGAGCACAGACAGCTCGAGGCATGGTGCCCCACGCTCTTCTGTTTAACTGGGACCAGGATACTTCTCTTCTTCCATCGTCATCAAGCGTCCCAGCAAAGACACTGTTTCTCTACCAGCAGCATCTAGCCCCCCCCGGCCCCCAGTCACCCTCTGATTCGTGATCAGAGCACAGAAACGTGACTGGACGTGCATTCTTGCACGCGAGACGCAGCCACTCTGCCTGGACTGAAGGCCCAATTGATACTACCAGCTTGACGCCGTGCACGCTTCAATGCTCGACTGGCATTGCCTGGTACTTTATCTGAACCAGCAGTGGATACATGTTTCTCAGAAGGGGGTCGGCTTGTTCCTTCAACTCAATTAAGCATTTGATATCACCGCTTCTCAGATCGTACACAAGTACAATGCCCTCGATCAACGCTTGATCTACATGTTGGTTGACAGGACGAATCTCAGTCTGGCTGTTGGTGATAACATGTTGCTTGCTTTCCGCTTCCTGCGTCCCGTGCCGGTGTGATGAAGCCGCAGCACCCTGTTCTTCACCCTAGGATCTTTGCTCCCACCCTCCTCTTTCTCCTCCCGTCTCTTTCTCATCCCCCCGAACAAGCCAGGGTACAAGGGTCTAGTGTCTAGGGACTGACTGGGCTACAGTACCCCAAGGGCCTAGAGACATGGCCACACACTCTGCATTTAGCACCTCACCCAAGTCTATTCTTGTCTCCATCCACTCCGTGACCGCTCATGTTCATGCTTCTACTGGTTCCCTCAGTCTCCAGCGTCGAGCTATAGTGCATACATAACGTCCCGTAACCGCCCGCTCACTCCCCTGGTCCCCTTCTCCCAAGTTTTGCGACCTGTGTATTATCTTCTCGACACCACGAGATTTATGTTTCCTTTATCTGTTTCTCTTTGTTTCGAGGCGTCTCCTCGATCGTGCTTAGGCACTGAGTTCTAAAGAAGCAACCGCCGGCGACGGCCATACTAAGCAATAACCAGCTGATACACCCAACCTCACCAACAGTATTTGGTGCCTGGTAGCATCAACTACTTGATATCTGCTGACATAAACTCCAAAATGGTAAGCAGGAGAGCTCGGCCAGCGAGTGTAATGGATATCACTAACACTGACCCGTAGGAGTACACATCTTTCCGAGGCGGAGACCGCCGAACATACTCACAAATGCGACAGCAACCCCTACCTCGGGACACCTTCTTCAGTCTCAAGAATGATTCTCAAATACTAGAACGACCAATTTCAGTGGCAACCGAGTTTGTGGACACGGACTGGGAAGAAGAGGATGAAATCATTAGCGACGAGGAGGACAACTCGCCTCGCATAAGTTTGCAATCAGTATGTGTCTCATAGGGGAGCCGATCGAGCTCGATAAGAACTAACAAACATATCCAGGCAGGGCAACCTAGCTTCACAACAGTTTCTTCCTATGATGAGGTTCCAACGCCAAGATCGAGTAGAAGCCAAGAAGTTGCGCTTGATTATTCCCCGAAGCAGGTTGAAGGTCCTCGAGGGCCTCACCTTTTTCGGAACTCGACTGACCAATACTCCTCCACTGAAGAGGACATTATTTTAACATTGTCACCTATCACTCCCAAGGGACCTCGGAACATTGCGGACTTCCTCATGACATCCCAGCCACCACCGCCCCGAGCCAGTCCTTTCCAGTACACTGATGCGGAACTGGATACGACAACTCTGGCATCATGGTCCACTGAGATGGTTGCGCAGGCTATGCTCAATGCTGGCGTTGAGCTGTCCGTGGCAGACCGATTTATGGAGAATGATATCAGTGGTGCAATTCTGATAACGCTTAAGTTTGAAGATCTCAAGGAGCTCAACATCCAATCATTTGGTATCAGGACCAAAGTCTGGCATCAAATCCAAGCTCTAAGAGACAGCATACCTGCATCGCCTCGGCCAGAAACACCAATTGAGGACGTTCCAAGCAAGGAAGTTGTTAGAGAAGTGCGAAGAGCGGAAGAAGGTGGTCTTAAGCGTCGCCAGAGCAGCAAGCGGCGTCACCGCGCAAGGACAAATGGAGATGATATCACTCCTATGGAGTCAGTGTCTATCATCGGTATTGAGCAAGTCATACCAAAACCCCATCACTGTTCTAAGGGGGAGAACTGCTCCAAGTTCAGAAAGCAACAGCAGCTTATCAGGGCATTCAAGAAAGAATATCCACATGTGGATATTAATGCCACTGGTACCGTCATGGTTGGAGATGCTGGCAACCCTGAGACGGCCAAGGCATTGGACCCTAACAAGGTCCGTCCCGTGTCGGACGCCGTGCCTTCTGTTGTCGCATCCTCGGATGTCATGGGTCCTGGCATGCCTCCTCTCCAGTACCTTTACGAGGCATCTCTGCGTGGTGTTCAGTCAAGGGATCCTCAAGATAACGTCAGACAATTCCTCAGCTTCCAGCACCAACAACAGGGAGACTGCAGCGCCGAGGTACCTCCCACACCTCCATTTGATGGTATGCCAACCGCACAGGCTCAGCTTCCTCACCAAGGTCTGCGCCGGCTACCTAAACTGTCCATTCCCGGGAAACCTCAGCTACCCCCGTCGCGTCTTGGAGCTTCTTCTGTGCCTCCCCCTCAGAAGAAGCCCACGCAGTCATTTGCTCAACATCAGCAACAATTGCAACAGCAACATCAGCCCGCCTTTATCCCTTACCAGATGGAGAAGACTAGCCCTCGATCTCCTGATCTGGAGATGACGCCCAGGAACAGCTTCCGTCACGGTACACCATTCTCAGAGCTTGATGTTCCTATTACAGCTGTACCCATTGGACCAGTGGCTCGAGATTTCTCCCAATCTGTCCCCCCTGATATGAACTACCGCACATCTCCAACTAACAATGTTTCCCCTCCTCGCTGCCAGTCTCGCACCTCAGCTCGCCGCCCATCTTTCCCTGTGATGCCCGCTCTGGAGGAGAACAAGCCTGTTCTCGTTAGCCGCCCTTCCCAGGGATCCCCTTCACCCAAGTCGCCACAAGGTTCGCGATCTCAGCAGCCTCTTCAGCCACCCCCTCGTGACAACTTGCCTTTCTCTCGTGGTCAGCTTAATGGGTCTGAGAAGGTCCTGGCACCAACGATTACACCTCTTGGTGCCAAGGGCAAGTCTCCCTCTGCTGACCCTGCCAATGGAATCAGCCACCAGGGCCCAATGAAGAAGCGCAAGACAAAGATGCTCCGGCATGAGTGGCAGGACGGTTACTTTACTCTGAAGGGTACCCGCCTCAATATGCACAAGGATGCTGAGGAGCTCGGCCGAACCCTTGAGTATGTGGACATTGACGACTATGCAATTGCCTGCTCAAGTGTTGCATCCTCTTCAAAGCTCACTGCTGCCTTCAAGACGATGCATCTTTCTCGTGGAAGCCACAGCCGCGAGAAGAGTGACCCCGTTGGTGCCTTTGCTTTCCAGCTCATCCCTCAAGAGAAGAACACTGCCCGCCTTCGTAAGCGTGAGAGCCATCTACAACCTGCTGGCGCCATTCCCGCAGAAGGTGTCAATGGTACAGGCAAGACGCATCACTTTGCTGTCAAGAACCGAGATGACCGCATCGACTGGATGCGTGAGCTTATGCTTGCAAAGGCTCTCAGACAAAAGGGCGAGGGTTTCGAGATCAGCGTTAATGGAAACATGATCTGAACCACCACACCCGCCACCTTTCTATCACTTACCAAAACTCTACTCTGCTTTGATTTCACTCTGATACCATTGACCTGATACCCCTCTATGGTGGTTATTGGGCCTCGGTATTTCTTTTTGTTCTTGTGTTATTGTGCACTTTTTACATGCCAGATCGTACAACCATTATGCGAATATTTGCTGCGGCTCTCTCGCGGGATGCTTACACAGCGGATGAATGTTAGCTCGAGATGAGCAATGATGTCTATTTGGGTACTGGAATTTGCATACCTGGGATGTTTTCCTTGATTGATAGGCTATTGCTCGATGGGAACGAGCTGCCTCCGTTTTATACCATTCGCACACGACTTTAGAAAACTCAACACTGCACAACTCACTCCCTTAAATATTTTTTCATGACCGATGACGCAGATACCACATGGCGCTTGTTGATTTTTTACTTCATATAGGTAGCTCAGGCTAGCTTCTTGGGATAGGAAAAGAAAAGAAAATGAAATGATGAATTTGAATGAACTGTCCTTGAAAGCTATGTGATATTAATGTCTTCCTGGGAACTTATTGTCAAGTGTTGCTATGGAGTCTCTATTATAGGTGTTTGTTATGGTCTCTTCCCTGCATGGCCCATATTGGTAGCTCGGATGATCCAAGTTGTAGCCTCGAGGCCTTTTGATATTTATTATCATCGACATCTAGTTGTAGTGTTTGTGATACACTCTACTCAGCTGATGCAGGCCAACATCCATATATAATTTCTCTCTTCCAACCTGACTATCACATACGACCACAGCTCGTGTAGAATACGGGGTCCCGTCCGCTCCCCCATCGTCAAGCCACGAAGCGCCGGATTAGTAGTTGGGTCGGTGACGACCAGCGAATACCTGGTGTTGTATGTCTTTTTTGGTGTTTATACCCTTTTGGTCTTCATTAATACGAGGTACGCTGTATACTAGAACCAGCGCCTAGCAACATACCTGGGTGAGCAGACCATCTCCCAGGCGTCTCATGAGCAGGATATAGGACATAGAGACGCATTGAGACGTCAAATGGTACATTTTCCCCACCTGTATATGCAGAGTACAATATCTTACAGAATTCGCTTCCCTTATCCCTTTGTCTCTATCCAATGCCGTAACATCGTGTCCTAACTATACATCCTGTCTACGCGCCGTCATGTATCATATTTCTGCTTACGCCGACTTGAAGCCAGGTCGTAGCACTCCCGACTTCTGGGCCACCTTCTCCCAGTCGATCAACTTCCACCATGACTCGGCGAAAGCAGTCTTTCCACCCTGGCCACCAGCGCCAACACCCCAATCCAGCAGCCATGCGTGCTCCCAGGTGTTTAGACACAGAAGAGGCTCCAGCTCAACACCACCTGGGGGAAGATCGCTGTTTCGCTTGTTGGCACCGAATGCCTGGTTGTGCATAAAAGTGCGGGCAGAGCCATCCTTGCCCACGGCGTTCATATCGGTAGTCTGGGCGCGCCAGTGAGCGCCGGGGTAAGGAGATCCGGCGAGGTAGGTGGGTAGAAGACGGTAGTCGCCGGGACCAGCCTTGACGAGCCAGAGGAAGCCCGGGCCGAACATGGCGGAGGCAGTGATGATGAATTCGCGGCGGAGGGTCTCGATGGAGGAGAATGAGGCCTCTAGTTCGCTGCGGAGGGCGTCGGGCATGGGGGTTCCTTCTGGTGCGATGCCTTGGAAGAAGAAGTGGTTGTTGTGCGCCATGGAAGCATAGTTGAAGATGGGGGCCTGATTAGGCTCGCGGGCTGTCATGAGAGCAATTGTCTTTGTGTCCTTATCCTCGAGCTCAGTGCCTGGGAGTTGACATGTCAGTAAGTGTTGAATTGGTATATGATTCAATGTCAAATTGGGAAACATTGTGTTGGTTCAATGCTGTCCCAGAACATCAATGCCACACATACCAACAGTCAAAGCATTCAGCTTCTCCACCGTCAACTTCATGTATTCAGTCCAAGCGATCGAGAAACCTCCAGGGCTCATGAGGTTAGGAACACCCTCAGAATAGTCGTGCGGCAGTTGGGGAACATGATGGATTGATCGGCGGGCATTGACTGTTGAGCGCAGGCCGAGGCCAAAGACCGAGCTAGGAACTCTTAATCTAGGACGAAGCATTGTGTGAAGGGAAGGTCGACGGTATTAGGGGAGCTAGTCGGCGTTGGAAGGACCGTCGTCGTCGTCGACTTGGATTGTACTTTTTTTTGGGGTGTTGATAGCCGTCGCCTGAGGTTTCTTCACGGAGCTAAGTTGAACCGAAGATGAACCACGACGCCACAGGATGGGGAATGTCCATGTGGCTCAAGTTTATCCTCTGGGCCAAGACTAACCAGATTCTGGACTTTAGTCTGCGTTGAAGAGTCTAGATCGAATTTGGGCTTAGCTTCAGTTTAATCTGAGAACAACCAGCAGCAGGAGCCGAATATCCATGACCACGCTCAGGCTCAGGCTTAGAGAAGTCTAGGCGTCGATATTCATGATCAGTCAGTACCGTCAGTCACAAGCGCCTCGTTCTCATTTTTGACTTTCCCTCCCCCTTTCATTTTGTCTCCATTCGCCATCTTCTTTCGGTCTTTCTTTTTGCTATCATTAACCTTATACCAAGATAAATACAAGTTTCATCTCTTAACATATTTTGTAAGAGTTTTGTTCTCAACAACTCTCATTCGTCTCTTTCTTCGCCCCCCGTTGGACCCTTTTGGCTGTCCTGAAACATCACCACTTCTCCTCTCTACTGAGACATTCGACATCATAATCAATCAAATATCGTCCACGTCTACGTCCACGTACACATGCAACCTCCGTCGAACCTCGAAGATATACCAGTCGCCGCCGATGATGCTTCTTCCTTGATTCTCGCCCATTCTTCAACAGTTATCGAGATGGCTACCTCAGCTATCGCCTCGGCCGCCTCCATGGCTTCCTCCACAGCTGCATCGGCAACCTTCATCGCGTCCGGATCACCACAGTCATACGACGAAGACGATTCCAATGGGGAGTGCTCGTTACTTGGCTCCTTTGCGCTGCTTGTACAAGGCGCACTTGGTGCTCTGGCTCTACTCTCCCTCGTCTATAAGCGGTGGCGGGAACGACCTCAGCGACCGCTCAAGATTTGGTTCTTCGACGTGTCCAAGCAGGTTTTTGGTTCTGTGCTCGTCCACATCGCCAATATCTTCATGTCCATGTTGACGAGCGGTCGGTTCTCGGTCCAGGTCGACCCATCAGCAACACCCATGATGAGACGCTCCGATGACGATAACTACGCCCCAAATCCCTGCTCCTTCTATCTTCTTAACCTCGCGATAGATGCAAGTACCAGCTTATCCTGTCATTCATACTCCAGACCTGCTAACATATATAGACCACTCTCGGTATCCCCATCCTCATCATTCTCCTAAAGATCCTCACAGGTCTCGTTCGTTTCACACCAGTCGGTAAACCCCCCGAATCTGTTCAGTCTGGCAACTACGGTACCCCGCCCAATGTCTGGTGGTGGTTGAAACAATCAGTCATTTACTTCTGTGGCCTTTTTGGCATGAAGATCTGCGTCCTCATCATCTTCATCATGATGCCCTGGATCTCAAAAGCTGGCGATTGGGCTCTTGGCTGGACTGAGGGCAATGAGAAGCTTCAGATCGCGTTTGTCATGATGATCTTCCCTCTCATCATGAACGCTCTTCAATACTACATCATCGACTCGTTCATCAAGCTAAAAGAGACCAACCACGAAAGCCATGGCAACGAATCTGATGACGAAGGCCGCCGCAGGAGGTACGACGATAGCGAGGATGAGACTTCGCGTGTCAGACTTGTCGATTCAGAGCACGAGACTGACAGTGAGTCCGATGACGATGACGATAAGCCTGTCGCGCGTCCCACTCATTCCACGCAACCCAAAGGCAGAGACTCTGGAGAGTATGATCCCGAGCGCGACGGTGACGATCGAACAATCACAGGAAGTAGTGCGAGCGCCCGTGATCCTCAGGACAAGGTTCCCCAAGAGCTATATCCCAAGGAGTAGAAGAGGTTATAAAGCCTTGGACAAGGCTGTTTGTGTTGTTTTAAGTGTTTCGAGCTTTCTGGTGGTATGGGTCTTTTACAAGCGATCTCTATTGGCCTCGAGTCGCGGCGTCTCAGCAGCGGATGGAGATATATTATATTGCACATCATGGGGATTCTTTGTCGGCATTCAGCGGAAGTCAGGCTCACGGCGTAAATAGGAGCCTGTGGCGTTATCAGATGGGATTACACCTCGGGATTAGAAGCGACTTTAAATCAAACTTCACAAAGCCTCGTGGGCGAGGATCATTATTGTGTACCAAACTCATCGTGTAAATGTATGGCCAAGTCTTGGCTATGACGCCAAGCTTGCATGAAGCTGAACAGAGTTTCATCACGCAGGCGAGAAGTACCTGTGTCGTAGCCAAGTGGTGCTTTCAGACCATCTCTCTTTATGGTGACAAGACAAATCCGTATCATGGGGCCTCCAAAAATATAACCTGAGTATCCAGACCCAAATTCTAAAAACAAGTTCGACTGAAATTCTCCCCGGAAACGCCAACGCATAAAACTAAGGTAGTAACAAAATGCATGAAGCAACTCCGTATATCCATGAAATACTCAGAGAAACACAGTCATATATGCCTTTTCTTTCGTTCACCCCCAAAGTGTCATAAATCTGCCATTTAAGGCTGGTATGGCTTGAAACCTGGGTATGGCTCCTGAGGAGAGTGGGACTCTGGCATGTGTTGCCGCTGGGGAACAGGATGAGCACCATAGCTGGCTTCGGGGCCGGGAGGCGGTGTTCGATAATCGTTCATAGGCGCTGGAGACTGACGAGGCGGCTGAGCGTAGCCGAAATCGTTTTGGGGACCGGGTGATTGACGAACGGGTGATCCATAACCATAGTCTTCTGGTATAGCTGGAGAACGGCGAGGAGGAAGCTGTCCGTAAGTGCCAAATTCATCCTGATGCATTGAAGTTCGCTTGGCGAAACTGGCGGGACGCGGCGGAGGAGTCCCTCGGTATCCGCTATAAGTTGCTGCATAGTCGTTGGGGGAAGTGGCCTGGCCATAGCCTTGTTGTCCGTAGCCATGCATCTGCCCGTAGCCTTGGTTTTGATCGAATCCTTGATCATGGCCGTAGCCTTGGTTATCATATCCATTGTTGTTCAACGCTGGAGAGCGGCGTTCATGTGGCATTGGTGCGACAGCAGCGGCACTGCCGTACATCGGGTTCATACCGGGGGCTTGATAGCCGTAGCCTTGTTGGTCGATAGGTGAATAGGCATCGGGAGCTTGGTTAGCGCCCAGGTAGCCACTTGAGTTACTCTGTGCCTGGCTATAGGGGGTCAAATTGTTCGGTGAAACCCCACCCATCATGTTGCTTTGCTGACTAGGGGGTGGCTTTGAAGGTAGAGTGTCAAGCTCAACGGCCTCTGTGTGAACCTCGACCTTTTTGCTGCTAGCACCCTCCCAGCTGGGCATTTCAGGGAGGGCATCATCGTCTCGGCCTTTACTCGTTTCGAATTCCGCATACTGAGGTGGCTCGGATCGCATGGGCTTTGTGACTCCGTATTGAGGCGCTGAGGGGTTCATTGGGGGTTCACTTCGGTATCCATGGTGCTGACTCTGGGGAGCATAAGGGTCATCCAGATGCTTTGTGGCACTGCGTGGAGGGTCACAAGCACCGCAGCAGTTACCGCAGCACTTCAGGCACTGGCAACAGCTACAACAACATGAAAGACCACAGCAGCAGCAACGAATAATACACCAAACAATACTGAAAATGATGAGACCTCCGATGATCATCACACCAATTACTGGCCATCTGGGTTATGTTAGTAGAGAAGGCGTCGGGGTAACAAGGAATATACGCACTTGCACCACGCCACGTTCATACAGTTGTCCCAGCTGGAGAAAGCAGTCGCGAAGTCTTCTGATTTTTGTGCAACTTCATCGGTTGTTTGCGCGGCATCGGCTAACATGTCTCGTCGTGAAAGGTCGGCTACAATTGTCCGGACAAACTTGTCCTTGACAACCTCCCAGGCACTGCCCCGAAGGCTCCGCGCCATGGCCTCGTCAATGGAGGGCATTTTATTGATGTGTCCCGGTTATAAATGGAACTACTAATGAGTGAAATTGCTTCGGAAAGATCGAGAAAGATATAATGGATATCGTGTTGTGTATTTTGCTCGAGGTTGCGGGTATAATACTTGGTTGCATGGGCGAGTCGACAATACTCGAATTGAGTTCGGGATGTTGATCGAGAAACGGTCAAAAAGTCAAAACACGATGTTATTGAGACAGCGACGTATGCCGTATCTTCTTTCAGCGCGTGTCAATATTGAAGCGGGTCGTTAATCGAAGGTTGGAATGAAGGACGGTGGTTCAGCGGAAGAGGACTGTTGATGAAGAAACAAAAGCGGCGCTCGCACCGTCAGTACAAGAGAATGTTATGAAGAAATGATCAAGAGAGTGTAGATGACCTATACGAGGTTAAAGAGAGGCCTAGGAAACGACAGCCACATCACCAAAGTCGTTCGTGTTGATGTAGAGAATAAAGTGCAAGCCTAGAAGTCAAAGAGAAGGGAAGAAAGCACTGGTGGAGCTGGAGGTGTCAGAGGCGCCCGCCAGGTGGAGAGACCTGGCCACTGGGGTCAGGGAGACGCTGAAAGGTCCAGAATTACCGCGAGTGGCGGGGATGATCCAGGGGAAAACGGGACCGCTAATGGTTCAATTTGCCCCTGATCGATAAAACATCCCTGTCAGAAGAGTTCTGAAACTGTGAAACTCGACAGGATTGTCGCTTGGATATTCATTGGTGGGGGGCGGACAGTTCAGTTTCGTTCAGTTCAGTCTGTGAGTGGACTCAGTGGAGGGGAGCAAAGTTGTTTCCGCGTTTAGAGAATACGTCCATTAAATTGAACATGAACTTTGTTGTAATCTGACTTTGAATCCATCCAATACGGGCTTTCAACAGCTGACTTTAACAGTTGAAGGGGTGATGACGACTTCATGGCTTGACTTAACCCTAGCCTTTATAGGACCGACATCGGGTGATTGAACGAACATTCGCGGAGAATGCTGTAAAGAGAATGGTTAAGAGCACGCTTGGGAAATTGAGAGTAGCAAGATGGGCAAGTCGAGAGTTGACGATCTTTGTTTTATGTAACCTATGGAGTATTGGAGTATCGCCTGAGGACATTCTAAGGTAGATCAACCTGCGAGGTCAAACAACAATGTCCAGCCACTTCTCAAACACAACCCGAGTCTTTGTTCTTTAAATCATGCGCGATAAAAGCCATGAAATTATCTCCAGCATCAAAGACGCCATACCGTTATTAGCCCTTCTGCCAGAAGCTCAACCCTGGTCTTGGTGCGGGCCACAGGGGCTTCTTCCATTTCCGAAATGACAGGGTCGTCTCGATTGCCGGACGATCCTGTCGCAGAGTTTGAGTGGAAAATGAAGGGTTTTGAAATGATTTCGTCATTTATCAGTGTCAGATTTCAACGGCTGGAGAGTTATGGAATTGGTGGTAAAATGCAAGATGATCAATGGGTATTTGGACATGCTCTCTGCAAGGTATGCACACTAGACCAGACACTCGGGACTTGGCGTGGAAAAGATCAAAGAGCCAAGGCTTGGGTTCCTTTTGTTCTGATTGCGATGTGCAGCACTGCCTTTATACGCGGATGAACTCGGCATTATTGTATTGGCCAAAGAGATATTCAGATCGTCGTCCACTGCTACCATGAAGGGATATGCGCAACCCAACGAATGGGTATCCCGCAGATTTTGTTTCTTCCCGCCACCTTCATCATGTTTCATGCAGGTCCCGTCAACGGCTGTGACGTTGATATCGGATTATTTATGCATACGTTCAAAGTGGATGCGGTTAACTTCAGTTCATTCATCAATATCAAGTCCTTCAAGTCACGACAGATGTGTCGAAATGTTATCACTGGCGCGTCACAAACATAGCTCGTCTAACTATTTCGATAAATATTCGCTGAAGAGAAGACTAGAAACAATTAGGGAAAAAATAGTTCTCATAATTCCATCCAGGCCATGCTCGTGGGAGCAATGCCTCTTATCACAGTATGTCTTGACGTAAGACCATTCATTACATACCGAGCTCCCAAACGCCTCAATCAGTGGTATCCTTTCCATATCGACCGTGTTTTAAAACAGTTCCCATTCCAAGTGCATCCACCGCCCTGCCTTATTTTCCAGGAGGAGGACCAGCAGGTGGCGAGTAGGCACCTTCACGCTGATATGTGCCCTGTGGTTGCTGAACTCCAGAATACTGGCCCTGGCCGTAGTATCCGTCGTTGGTGTTGAATGTCGTACCTGTGTACTGAGGCTGCTGTTGCTGGCCATACGCTGGAGGTGGAGGTGGAGCTCCGTAGCCACCGTTCTGCTGGTAGCCCTGGTTATAACCGCCTTGGTTGCCGTAGTTGTACATCTGATGGTTGTTGTTGTTTCCCCAAGGCTTGGCCGCCATCCATCCAGTGCCGTACACGGGCTTAACGCCACGGCTTTTGCGACGGCGAGAGAATCTTGATATGTTAGCAAGATACTCCAAACGGCAATTAGAGTGCAAATACTTACAGGCAGCAGAAGAGGAAGAGGACGAAGAAAAAGATGATGATGCCGGCTAACACCCAGCGCCCCCAGTAGGACCAGTTGTTACGAACACATGTTCGTCCATTCCAAGTCCTGCCATAAGGGCATCTGTAGTAGTCGCGCGCAAAAATATCTTCAGTGGGCGCCATTGTGATTATGAAGATGCGCGATGTGTATACGCGACGATGATAGAGTAGAGTTCAAGAGCGTTCAATTGACAAACTCTGTTTTTGACGTGTTGTTTGCGGCGCTGAGTCGCCTGGCTATGACGTAGAATGTGTGTGATGATGTTCCAAGGGAGGTGACGTCTTTATCTGATAGGTTGTGTAAAAGATCTGTTACAGTAGGTGATTGACGATTTAATCCGGGCCGTGAAAGGGTGTAAGAAAAAGTAGGATAATAGGTTTTTTGCCAAGTTCCACACAAATGAGGGAAGGGAAGACAAGAGAGTGGGAGGAGGGCCCTTTATGCAAAGTGCAACTCAAACGACGAAGCCAAGAGAAAGAGAATCATGATATCCACCCAAGCTTGGCCTAGAGCCTAAAGTTGCCTGCGTAACTCTAACAAAAACGCGGTCACAAGCCTCTTCTTGGTCTCGAGAGTTTCCACTTTTGTCTTGTCTTGGCCAACATGGTGTGTTCTTGGCTATCAAACGAGGTTTAATGCTATTGCGCTGCGTGGTCGATAGTGGCTGTGCGCAAAGATACAGTAACAGTTGGAAGCTTGGCGCTTACATCACGGTAACCTTTATATCTGCCGTGATTCCCGCTATAGAATCACACTATGCTACGTTCAAGGGTGATATACAGGTTTGAAAAGTGAGTCAAGGCCGTCATCAATACGCAGCGTATTTGCGTATCAATTGATCATCAATCTCTTTGATTATCAATTGGCAACGGGAGGCCTATACTTCACCGGCAAGTTTATACCGAGATCATCATCACCTGTCTAAGACTGCTAAGCCCCATGTCTTCGTGGCCAAATTCTAATTCCTCGTTAATGTGGCGAAGCCAATGAATGACGTGTTTCCACCCTTAGCTACTCCATCATTTTGTTTATGGTTGATCTGCTTCATAAACCATATTCTAGAACGGCATAAGCAGCTTATAAAAGGACCTACATGAATATTCTGGACTTTTATATGTAGGTATTCCAAAAGCCCAGAATCAACCCAAACTCTCGAACCTGGCATATCCCAGCCCAGCTTAAGGACCCTCCAAAGCTCCATCCTAAAGCTCCATCTTAGTCCGGCCTACGGCTATTAAGCTTATTAATAATTTATGCTGTGCTATCTGAGAGGGTTAAGAATTAAATCAACTGTCGACAAGTATATATAATCCTCGCATAAATGGGAGCATTAGGTCAAGAGACTCAGGTGATGCAACAGTTGATGCCATGTCTGGAGAGTGATCCAAGGTACGACATGCCTTTGATAATTTGAAGGAGTCGGATTCTTCGAGAATATAGAAACCGCTTCATTCCCATTGTATACATACACGGTTTGGTACCCTCTTTGGTCCCTCAAAGCTGCGAAAACAACAATATCCGCTTCGATTATCCAGCGCATCGTATTAAAGTCAGCAGTTCCAACCGCTTTAAAACAAACCACGGTTGCCTTCAGCCTCGCTCTTCAGAGAGATGGATTTCATCGCACCGACGGCATATACTTTTGTGTCCCAAACGCCGTCAAAGAAATCATCCCACAAACATCAATCAGATATTACCCAGCGCCTGTCCTTTTGTAACGAGCCCGTGATCCGTCGTGAGGAGATATAAGGAAATCGTAAGGGTTATTTGCTTCAGAGACCGGCTCTTGGGAAAGAGTAGCGTTGTCGTCGAAGTTCGTCGGCTGCCTTCATGTTGCGTTCCGCGGCCTGTTGAGCTTGTTGTCGCGCTGCTATCGCGTTGACCTTCTCTCGAGCTCTGAGCAGACTGCTGTTATCCTGCTGCTTGATCTTGGAGCGAATGTCGTATAGTTGCATGAGTGTGCTTGCTCTCTCCAGGTCTTCTTCGAACTGTGTAGCAGTTCTGTCAGTGCCAAAGTCCCAGCTTCGCCGTTGAGACGACGGTTGGTGGGGTTGCCTCACATCAGATTCACCTCGGCGAGGAGTACCAGGGCTAGAGTTCACAGCTGAACCGGAGTGGGAGCCAGGAGAGAGAATGCGGCGGCCGAACTTGTCGAATTTCTCAGACGACCAATGCCGCTGCAAACCTGTGGGACGTCGTTGTTGATTCGTAGTGGGACTCGAAGCAGGGGCAGTTGCAGCTGCAGTCACTTCGACTCGGGTGTAACTAGAGTTGGAGGGGTGGTTGGCGCTGACGATGGCTTCTGCGGCTCCCGGATCCTGATGCACGAGATACGTTAGTCTTGAGTGCACAGATGAGCACGTAGCAAAAAAGAGCTCGAAGTTAAATGGGAAACATACGGCGGCGCCTATATTGCTGAGGTCGGCAAGAACCTGGGATAGTTGAAGGCTCTCCATTGCTCGCGATGGAAGAAGTGGTTCGTGTGTTGCTAAGGGTGACGGCGAGTGTGGGTATCAGTTATTATAATGCTTCCTATCGAAATCATAGGAAGTCAAAGGAAGAAATTCAGGTCTGTTAGGATGAGAGTTTATGTGGAAACGAGGTCAGAAGAAAGTTGGAGGGGAAGGTGTTTTTTGAACTGTATTGCAGGTTGCTCCTGGGCCTGCCCGGTTTGGCTTGCTTCGCGGTGGGCGAATTTTGGGTTTCGAAGGGCAGGCAGCCGCAGATCCATCCACAGCGCCTGCCGTGCGTGTGCCAAGCGACAGGGGGCGAATCAAACCAATGTGGAGGGACAAGAAAACAAACTGATATTTAAGGTGTCACTCAATCAATCAATCAATACATAGTATCAGATTCATCAATATTAAATGTAGTAGATACTAAATAGATTCTCCATTTGATTCTTTGAGAGATCTATCCAAGGTGGATAAGAAGACAGCCGAACCATGGTAAACTCGACGCAGTATCAAAATGAAGCTTCTCGATTATGCTGAGAAATAAGAATTAGTGAAGCAAAACACCACTACCACCACAACACAATCCATGATTGGCCAGGTTCATGCTTCCAAAAGTCCAGAGCTCCAACACTGCATTTATCGTGCATAAGATACCGGTCACCCCCGGTTGCAGTGGGATCTTGTCGAGCGGTAGTGGAGGGTAGCGGGGGGCTAAATGCCCAAAATTACAGGTGTCAATAAGCCAAGTCTGGGGTTTGCTCCTCCCCCACACTTTCACTAATCTCCCGGCATCGAGAGTCACAAGCTCGGAAAGCCATGTCTGACAATGGGAAAAAGTTAACTACACAAAGAACCATCAAAGCAAGTAAAACTCACCGCTTCTCTCAAATCAATCATGCATAATAAGGCTGTCATAAACGTTAGGATCGGTCGGACAAAGTATATCACTGTTGATGTTCTGATCATCGCTGTTCTCCGATATTAATGAAATGGTGGGTGAAGGTCTTTACCTTATTTACCCAGAAATGCCAGAGGGGGTCTCTCATGGTTGCGTTGCATTCCATCAAGCGGCGAAAATTGTCGCCCAATATTGGATCAAGCTTCACCGTGCACTCCGGACAGGGGGAGGATTGCCATCATCAACGATCAGCCTCTGCTATCATCACTACGGACTGACGGAGCCTGTTTTTCAGGTTCGCTGGTGTCTGGTCACTAGAAACTCTCGTTGGAGCGCCCAGTTTGTCCGTCTGCCCTATCACCTCGTTTCACCAGTAGTTTGCACATACATTCATCCTCATACGTCATTGCGAATGTCATTCTTCTAAGCATCCTGTGTTGGACTCCTGACTAAGTCACAACCATCATGATCATTCAACAACTCCCATCCCGAGTACATCCGATTTCGGGCCACATGATCAAACTTCTGATACAATGAATTGACTCCGTATTATCCAGGGTATCGGCCCTGTCGATACTTGCAGCTTTTGACGCATGTAACCCTCCATAGAACTGGTTGAGTGGGATTCCCCGCACTGTCGACGCGTGAGCTTCCAAGTTTGTGGGGAGACCTATCTGACCTGCCGATCTATCTTTAGGAACTGATTCATCCTCAGTCTATGATACTATATGAATGAGGATCATAAGAAAAGCCAGGGTAGGTAGTTGTTAAATGTTGTGAGAACCTCTTCACAAGTTATGTTGATATTTACGGTTAATGCGGAGTATATAAAAGATTCGTCCCAAGCCCCAGTTCATCATCAATACCCAAGTTCAACAGGCAACTTCAATCTTCAATCCGGAGCACTATCCCGACTTTCCCGTTAACACGGTAAGTTGGCTATTCCCTATGCTACGATACGATTGGCACAGGTGGAGCTGACATCCAATCCATTTTCATCGTCGAAGCGCCCCTATTGTCGATCTGGAGATTATCATTTTCGAACTACTGAAAACCCCGAGAGTCCTCCGAACTTCACGCGTCAGGGCTATAGACTGTTTTCCACCAAGGTCATCTGTAGATCAGGAATTTAGGGAGATACTCGAAACGCCATACAGTACTTCAGGACTGATGTCATTCATCTTCTACAATATTGACCCCTGGCTTTCATTTGCTTTGACAGCGGATCGCGGCACCGGTCCGCCGTTTCTTCAGATCCACCCCCCGCAAACTCCACAGCCTCCGAGATCCGGCCCCACACAGATCTACAAGTATGCCCAGTCCGGGTTTGCAAAGCTGTTCTGAACTGAGGGCCTCAAGACCCCTCAACTTCTGACAAGGTCGTGCTCGGTGCAGCTAGTATAAGTATAACAATAATGGCTGAGGTAGACCGTGCACATGACCGCAGCGTAGATTTCTTGTTCGGCGCGTTGAATTTGAGTGCGAGGGACATCCATTTTATCCTGTCTTGCTAACAATAGTCTTGTGGCTTGTTCGATCTGACACCAAGTTTGTTCTCAGTCATGGACTAGAAAGGTCATAGAATTGTTTGTATTCAGTGATCAACTTCGACAAGTAAGTAAACCCGAACGCCCTTCCTGTCTGCCCGTACACCCACCCTTCACTGATGCTTCTAGCATTCAACATCCCCATCAAGAGCGGCCCACACCTTTCCCGCCTCTGGCTGCTGCGGCCTCTTCTTCTTGAGCCCTAGAAGCAGTTTGCGTCCGGGCTTTGCCTCTTCAGGTGCAGGAGTAGAAGACGAAGACATTGGCTTAGAAGCCGCGCGTCCAGCTACGGCACTCCATCCTCCAGTACCGGCGCGAAGGGGTACCTCTCGCCGAGAGATGGCACCGTTGGCATCTGAGTGACAGAGCAAGACGCTTTCAGCGAGCTTTTCGCGGCGGATAGTCTGCTCGATCCGAGGTTTGAGAATCTCTAGGCTCTTCTCCATGGGTACGGGTGTGAGAAAGGCGGAGTATGAGACTGTAGCTTTGATGAGAACTTCCTCGTTGAGAAAATCAACCTTGAAACTGAAGCTTTGCAGGGACGTGAGGTCCGGTTCAAGGGCAGTATTGACTTCCTCGATGGTCAGACCGAAGCGAGGCTCGGTAAGTACCAAAGCATTGAAAGGCTCAGTCTCGAGAATTGGGGGGCTTGGAGGTCGAATGGCTGCCGCTGCCGCAGCTTCGGCAGCTTGAGCTGCTCGGATCTTGACACACTGGGCGAGTGTTTTCGTCGGGGCCGAAACAAACTTATCTGATTTCCACACTAGAACAGACCGGTGAATGTCGTAGTCCTCGCTCTTACTCTCGAAGCCGAAGTCTTCAGCAAGCAAGTGAAGGAATTGGCGTGACTGGTTTTTCATCGGCTCATATCGTAAGCGGACTTCGTCTTTGTTGGCAGCAAAAACACGGAATTGGCTCTCCTGAGCATCTCCCCAAGATTGCATCTGTTTATAGAGCTTAAGAGTATTGTCCGAGAATGGGATGTGGTCATTGGTGTGAGAAGCAGGGTCGATATTGAGAGCTGCGGCCAGGCGACGATTGCGATCAAGGCGTTCGCACTCCTCATCACATCGAATTTCCGGTCGACTCGGAGTAGGGTTGCTCGTACTTGCTAAGCATTTGAAGCTCTGCTTGTGATTACCACATGCACAGCTGGTGGACATCTTGACCTGACAAGCTGTTGATTCTTTACACGCTGGTACGTATGTTAGTAACGAGCTTGGAACTGGATGTTATCGACTTACGAGTTTGTCCATGGCAGACGCTCTGGCATGGGTGGTTACATAGCAGCTTGGGCTTTCCGCATATTTGCTCGCAACCGTTCTGAGCGTCTCCGCATTCTCCAGGGCGATGACACAGCTTTTTACATGTATGAAGCCCGCAAGAGAGTTTCTGCCCGCATTGTTCTCCGCAATGAGCCTCTTGCAAATGGCAAGGCTTGTTGTGAAAGGTCGTCTTTCCACAAATGCACCGCTTCTGAACGAGGTATGTGCATGGCGGGCATGATACATCATCAGGATGGCACTGATGGTCAATAGAAGGATGCCCACAGGCAGTCTGCCGCTGGCACTGGTTAGTGCAAGATGGCTGTCTCGTTCCGCATGGTTGCGGTGGATGTAAAACTGTCTGGCCGCAATTGCACGAAACTTCTTCCCAGATAGCCTCAGGACAGCTCTGGCAAGCTCCGCGATGACAGAGCTGCTCGCAAAAGTGACTACCACACTTAAGTGGTCTTCCACAGACGGCGACACAGATATGCTCGGCCTCAACTGGTAGTGATTCAGGGCCCAGGCGTTGCTTCTTCTGCTGAGCAATACGCTGAGATGCCTTTTTTTCACCTGGGCAACAATGCTCTCCGCATCGATGTCTTCCGCAGTTGCGAGTAGCCTGGCATATTTTGAAACATAGGGGTTGCTGAACGTCTCCCTCATGGCAGATCGTCTCACCCGTGACTCGGCCACAGCGGCAGTCTATTTCCATCGTTTGGGTGCAAGGGTCGCATTCCCCAGTGTGGCACAAGGATTGGCAGAGATGACCGCATTCCAGCTTCTTCTCACAAATCCTCTCGCAGTGGGGAACATGATCTTCACAAGTTTGACGGGGCTGTTCCATGAGTTCCTTGAGTGGTGTCTTGCCACAAGGACAATTGGTGACAACGTCCGGAGAGAAGGGACAATGAGCTGGGATCTCTTCTTGCGGGTGACAAGAGATCTGGCAACGATGTACACCACAGTCGAAGGTTCTTCCACAAGCACTCTCGCAGCTAAAAGAGCCCTCAAACCAAGAATTGTTGGCGGGGTCGAACGAATCACAGATGTCGTCCTGTTTGGAACATTGCATCTCCTTTTGTACTCGTCCACAGTAGCACTTAGCTTCGATCGTCACCTCACAGATACCGCAGACACCTGGATGACATATTTGAGAACACTCATGCTGACCACAAGGTAGAAAATCGCCGCACCGCTCTCGACAGCTCCACCCGTTGTAGTAATCAGTATCCCTACAATTCTTCCGCTGAGAGTGCTTTCCACAGTAACAAGGCTCCGGTGGGCTCAATACAGTGCATGGCGGGCATGGCCCAGGATGACATTGAAGAGTGCATGGGTGAGAGCATGTCGATCTGGGCTTGGAACATGTTTGCCCACATGAGTGAGGAGGCAAGATGCTGTTCCGATTGGGATGCGTTTCTTTGCCGCACCAACACGAACTATCGCCTGGTTCGTCGGTCAACGTTGAGTTACATCCAGGGCAGCGCCATGATCGGTCACCGCTTTCCTCGTTGACTTTCATAGACGTATCCCACCATTGATGGGCACATTCAAGATGAACGACGGTCCAGCAAGTAGTGCACGACCAGACCTCGGTTTTTCGAGTGACTTCTTCGGTGCAGATACGGCACTCATAATTCCAATTAGCGATGTCTTCCTGAATCCGTTGCCATAATTCTGAGGCAGTTGACTTGGGAACCTCTTGGCGGGGTCTGTCCTGCTTCCGGTTCCTAGGCCGGTTTCTTGAGCGTCCTTGGGCTGTAGGCTGGGAGGCGCTTGATGATTGCTGTTGGGCACTATAGTTGTCAGTATCTAGGATGTATCACCTTGGGGTTGCCAGTCCTACCTCCTCTGGGATACGGGCTGTCCGGGCACGAATTCTGGGGCGTCTGCACTCAAAGACGCATCTTGAGCAGTCTCTGTTGGTTGTTCAGTTGTAGTCAAGCGTCCACCAAAAGTGCGCTGCGGTCCCATGGAAAAAACGCCTCTTCCTTGGTTTCCTTGCCCCCGAGCACCACCTCGATTACCTCGTCGGTTTCTTCTGCCTCGAGAAGCTCCTGAACTCTCGGGGGCGGCAGAAGCTACTGTTCCTGTCGAGGCGGCTATGGTTTGTGCAGCAATAGTGGCATCGGCAGGTTCTGTCCGAGGGGCGTTTCCGTGACCTTCAGGACCTTGTGCTGAATCATCCTGTCGCTGGCCACGATTCCGTCCTCCCCTTCCCCTACGGCGTCCTCCACGTGAGCCTCCTCGAGAACGTGATGCTGAACCCTGGCCCTCATTCTGAGACTGATTTTGGGCATTAGTTTGTGCCTGATGAGGGGCAAGGCTGATCTCTTGCTCGGCCATGACAGTGGAGATCGCCGTCGTGAGCTGAGAAGCTGTCGTTGTTGCAATGATTGCGCTATGTAGTATAAAGCGTCTTCAAACTACGAATAAAGAATAGGAAAACAAAGACCTTCAAACAAAGAGCTTGCTGACGAAGGGAGAACTTGCAAGGAGAATATGGAAAAGATTTCCAAATACTTCTTCACGAGAGCGTGAGTTAGAGGGGGGAGGAAAATTCACGAAAGAAAGGTACGAGGGAAAGGAATCTATGATATATTATGCCAATTGCAATAAATTCTTAGGAGGCGTTGAAAACTGGTGGAGCCCTGTATGTTTCCGTGTGGCGAAGCCGACTATGACAAACACAGGCAACCATTGGTTGGTCTGATAGTCAATCAGAATGAGTCACCAACTGGAACCACCTCTTTTGGATGTTTGAATCTGCCCATTCTTAATCTCAGCAGCCAGAATCCATCCAATAACGTAGTGACTTAGTGCAAAGAAAGAGTCACTGAATGCTGAATCATCTGCCTAATTTCGGTTTCTGCCTAGAAATCCTAGACATTATTCTCAACTACTGTGGCTGGAGAACTGCAACAGCCACATATCAGCAACTATGAGAATCATGTTTGTCAAGGAATACTGAAACATGTATAGCTGCTTTGTAGCAACGGTCTTTAAATCAGAGTCGTTTGTAGTCTGGTGAGACTCAATCTACCAGGCCATATAAAACCCTGGCCACTTAGGTTACTCACTGATTGTTATTGAGCTTGCTTTAGGGTAACGATGGCTGAATGGTGAACATTATACTTGGTTGAGACTTTTTTAGGTGATTGGCAGATGCTTAAGCCGTTAGATCTAGGGAGTTAAGAAGTCTACCTGTATTGTTAATTTACTTCACAAAGTTCAAGCCATATGTGTCGCACATAACAGTGGATGGTAGTTTCGGTGGACAATAGCGACCAACCTATTTGTAAGCCCATCTAATGCACTCTTTTTATCAGCAAAACAATAGGTTTTTGGTGTAACTCAAGCATTGAAGACACTATGGTTATCATGATACCGTGGGCGTCCGTTTACAATGCCCCGGACCAAGCCAGCTGGGTCGGGTAAAGTGTATTTACAACCTTAAAGCCAAGTATTCTCAGTTACTTCAGGAAATAACTACTGGGAAAACAGGCATTCACTGGAGATTGAAGCTTGGAAGTTGAAGACTATACTTTAAATATTGCTAGGAAGATTCTTCAGCCAGTTACTGAACTGCCACATACCTAAACAGATGCGCGCAGAAACGAGCATGTCCCAATGTGGAATTACAGTATCTATATCTACGAGGAAATATAGCCAAGATTAGAATACTTCACAAGTAACTGATGTAAAATTATTAAATATTAGGATTGTTATAATAAGAATCAACTAAGTTCAGGCCTTGTTGCCTAAACTTATCATAAGATACGGATGCTACATTTTATTTGAAGCTGATGACTTGCTCTTCAGATCCATACCTTTATCCACTAAGGTATCATTTACATGATTTGCGGCTCACCTCGGGTTTAACATCCCCGGCACATCTCTCCACACAACAAAAGCACAAGGGGTTACTTGTTAGCCAATTTGCATATGCGCAGGGCAGAAAGGAGCATGCTCAATGGATCTCGGCATGAAGTGCGACGCAAGATTGATCACGTTGACAAGAGATCTCGGGAGAGGCCGGGATGTCGGTACCGGCTCCGGATGCCCGTTGGCTCCACTTCCGGCTTAGACACAAACAACATCTCGTTCACGACGGTTGTAAACTGAGAACAGCTAAGGAATCAAAGATCCTTGACAAATAGTCACATTGAAAGTTTGATGGTCGAACATTTAGCTGGAATTGGCGTTCAACCGAGAGCATGGTTCAGAAGGCGCCAGAACATTTAAGAAAGTCTGCTAGATGAGAGTCACCTTCAGCTTCATATTGCTTGGTACAGCAACGGTTCTTGTAATAATGAAGCCAATTGGTGACTGAATAGCGTCATATGGAGAGGAGACAGAATTTCTTGAGGCTCTGGGCCCCCAATATCCATCTGGGGTACGGGTGCTCCATACTCTCCATATGGAGCTCGGGACAGCCTCCAACCCCCGGGATAGCTTCTCACGAGCTTCACAAGTCAGGAGCTAAACTCGGCAGTGTGGCGTCAGCCGTCTTTCACACACGCCCCTTCAACATGGAATAATTGCTTGTTGCAGACGGACAACCTCCGAAGGTCCCCATGCTTCAGCGGTGCCCTCACCAGGGCGGGCAGGGGACAGGAAGAAAACTTAGGACTAAGGGATAAAAATACTTAGACAGATTTAGGATAACTTAGGCAACTTTAGAATGAATTTGGGAATCATTTTGATCAGTTTATTTTGGCACCTTGAATACAAGTCTTGAGTCTTTTGGCTCCTCTAAGACTCAGTCCCAGACCGTCGGTGGGTTATAGGGAACGGCCTCGGTAGCGACGACAATTCTGCACCTCGGGCAGAATTTAGATCTTACATCAACATCAGACACAAAAGTATTGAGAAGATAGTGTAGAGAATGCACGGTTTCTTACGTTTGCTTGGGGTTAGGAGTTTATTATGGTAACACAACGGGAATGGTTGAAGTAGGAAGTAGATAGGCCATGCACGTGACCTCAACGTTGATTTCCCGTTCGGCGTGTTGAATTTGAGTGCGAGGGACAGCCATCAACCTCAACGCAACGACAGGTCGCTCCATCTCCGAATTCCACAAGACGTCGCCCATACAAATCCTTCGAAATGGCTGCTCTGATCAAGGCTGCGAACGCCAAAATCCGGTCAAACCCGGTGACTGACTATGTCTGCTCGACCCGTACGTCTTTCGAATATCCTGTTATGTTTTTTGCATGAGCTCCGATTCGTCTCCGAAAGCGCAATTTTGTGATATTGCAACTCAACAAGCAACACCACGGCTACAATGCATATAGAAGCACGCTTTAGGCATAGAAAAGATGCGAAAAAAAAGTTGTACTTCTGGAATATGTCAATTGGGCTGTTGGAGGGTGTGTTGACGTGCAATGCGTGTTTTGGAGCACGGCAGCTTCGGGGTAATCAACGTGGCGAGACTTAGACTGACTCTTGATATTCGCAGACTTTTGGGGCCCTGTCTCCAACTTTGGTATCCCTCTCGCGGCCATCATGGACACACAGAAGAGCCCTGAATTGTATGGTAGACCAGTGATGTACCGTCACGAACCATAACTGACTTTGCCTCTACTAGGATCTCGGGACAGATGACTGGTGCTCTGATCATCTACGCCGGTACTTTCATGCGATACTCCCTGGCTGTCACACCCAAGAACTACCTCCTCTTTGCCTGCCACTTTGTCAACGCTGGTGCCCAGCTCACCCAAGGATATCGATACCTCAACTACCATTACTGGGGCGGAAAGGAGAATATGCCCAAGGAGCAGCTGGCACAGGCGGCCGAGGCTGCCAAGGGAAAGGTTGAGAAGGCCACGGAGAAGGTTCAGAACGCTGTCAGCAAATAAAGAGGTTACCAGACCGACGGTCATTGGAAGGGATCGGTGTGTCGGGCTGCATGCCGACCATAATAGGAGTGTTTCCGGGTCGTACCTCGGGATTCGGAGAGTGGCAGCACACAGCTACCGCACAACAACGTTGTAACTTTACAAGAATTTGTCCCCTCGAACATCTAGAATCGCACCCCGAGTTGGGGTATCCGCAGTACTTGTGCCTGAAGAGGTGCAACGAGAAGATCGCGTCGCGGGGGTCCTTAGGTCAATGAACATGGTTAGAGCAAATAAATCAAGCCTTCAAATGCCACATCGAAATGTTACGAGCGAGTGATGAGGAGGAGTGCTCCCCCACAAAACGGAGATATAATGAATTCCCCGGAAGGGCTTCCGATGATTATTTCTTAAGAATAACAAATCGGTATGGGATTGGCATATCTAGACATATTAAGAGCATGCTAGTGTTTCGTTCTCATCAATCTCGTATACTTATGTACCAAGACTTGTTGACGTTTTCATAGCTAATGTCTTGACATTCTGCTTCATAGAAACAAGATGTAGTTTCATTGCAATAACAGCGCATGCACCCTTGCATCTGTGAATCAGATCCATGAAAGCAAGGTACGTAAGTCCCTTGAAGACAATATACAAACATAGATCTGAACCGGGGGTGGACCCCTTGGTTCCCGAATCTTGCATAGAAGTTCCCGACTATTCTCGTGCCTGTGCCTGGCCTTCCCCCACCGGGTTCCCGAAGGAACGGAATAAGGTCAAGGTGAAAGAGAAACCAGGGGTGACTGACTAGCTAGCATTGATCAGCAAATGCAAGGTCAGTGTGCCTACCCCAGCCTTTGCCTAGGCGGATCTGGTGATGTTCTGGTCGGCTTCTGTCCGTGAACGTGGGGATAAACCTTCTCTGTGGCTTTGGATCCTCGGTGAACGACCTGCAACGCCGGCAACACTTGCGGTTATTACCCAACCATTACCGTATCCGAGTGTTGCCATTGCTAGCCGCCTGTCGGGTATGGAATGGCATCATTTCGAGCCCCTTGTGAGGATCCCACATGATCTGTATAATCTGCAACGCTTCACGACCAGGTGTGAGACGTGAGGATGGAGCTCGATTTCAGAAGCTGGTCTCTTATCGAATGGGATTGCTCAGCGTTGAGAAATAATGGGCTAGCTGAGATGCCCCTGGTTTTTCACATCTGCCACTTGAACGAGAAGTAATTGATCGCATTGAATCGTGATATCAAGAAGCCCTTACACGTTTGCTAGGTAATGCTCGAGTGGAAGCATCATCCATAGATCGATCATCCACTGTCATAGGCTCCAGATTTGACCCCAACTGCCTGTTCCAGCCCGGCATTTGTGAGGGGAAAACGCCGGTGCTTCAACCATTTCGGTCAACCAAATTTTTGGATACCCACCATGCACCAGTTAGTTGAACTCGAACAGAGAATGCCTTCCTATTCGGTTTTTTTCAGCCCTACCCCAATT